CCCTTTGTGTAGATCACAATAGGTACATTATACCAACATTGAAACATAGTGGTGATGGTGGGAAGGTGTGGGATGTTTTGCAGCCTCTGAACATGGAAAACTTGCTCTTATTGAAGAAACCATGAATTCAGAGATTTCTTCATAAGCAGAGTGTCTGTTCTCTCTCCTTGAGCTGAAGCTGAAAAGGAACAAATCAAATGTTTTGGAATGGCCTTGTCAAAGTCCTCACTCGCACTTGTCGCAATTGAAAAACTAACAAGATGACTGAATTAAAATAGCTCTGCAAAGGAGAGTGGGTTCAAATTGACTGATTTCAAATTATAGCAGTTACTGCTGCTAAAGGTGATACAGGCAGTTTCTTTTTTCACATGGGTGATTCACATGCTGAATATTTTTGCTCCATTTGATGAGATTCTCTTTGTCTAATGTTACAGTTTGTTTAAAGGTTTAAAGCATTCACTTTGACAAACATGCAGTAAAAGGGAAAATTAAGACGCAAACAAACAGATCCATTAAACGGCATAAAGTATTTGCTGAACATAGTTACTTTTTCATTAATATTATGTTGTGTACTTGTGCCAACCTGCTCCAACACGGTTGGCACACATTATCAGGGTTGTTATTTAGCATGCCAGTCTACTTGTTATCCAGCTTGCACTGCTTAGCAGAGGCTTCACAGATATTAATATCAATAGATATTAAAATGATATAATTAGTAATTACTAGAGAGGGGAATCAGTAATATTTTGATGTAACTCATTCACCTTTCTAGATACTAATATATACTAATTATATCTTTTTAATATCCATAAAACGTTTCTATAGTGTGTTTTTTTTCTTTTGTTTTGCTTTGTTCTTTTGGTTTTCACACAGAAAAATTGAAAAGTTGTCCACACCTTAACCTCTTAAAAGGCCAAGGGCTGCTGGCAGGCCCAAAGTTTTATTACACACTTCTATAACATAAGAATAGCTCAGCCAGTTCGCAATAAAGTCCCTGTAGTTACTTTGTCATTTAAATATCTTGATAAGTCAGATATAAATATGTGATAATATTTAAAAATCAACCAACCACTGGTGACAACCGACACTGCTCTCCCACACACCACAACCTGGTTATGGAACCACTGCTGCATAAAAAAGAAACAGGATATGTAACTGGGTAAAAAGCACTTTGATACTTAGTAACTTAAAAGAAAAGTGTTGTATAAATAATGATAATTACAGTGATTTATTGTGCCTATTAGCCATGTCAAAGTTCAGACATTATCTTCACATTGCTGTTTTAATGCACAGACTAAAAATCAGGAGCGCAGCTAGAACGGGGTGTCCAGGTAAGACCAAAAGATTTCACTGGGGTGATGTGTTGTTTTCCCTTCTTATATAACTAATTCATTTCCTCATGAACAGAATATTACATCAATACAGCGTATTTTAGTTGTTCATGAGAAAATGATGTATTTGAATCAAGTAAATTAAATATATCTTATTTTCAGTACACAACATTACCTTTGAGAAAGACAGGCCATATACGTTATTCATTTCGGCTGCCCTCACGACAGGTTATATCACTGAGTCAGGAGTGATTAGAAAGCTAGAGACCCAGCGCATATTCACCCACCTGTTTGGTCAGCAAATTAGCCTATCACTGCTAATTATGCTAATTGCTAAATGCAGTGTTGTCATACTCTTATAACTGATTGGTAACCCGTAGCAGATTTGCACCATAAAGCGTAATTGATGCTTTATAGATGATGGCTGACTGATGACGGTTGACTGCCTCACTTTTCATAATTGGGGTGGCCAGAAGGGTGGCCATGCTTAATGCTAGGGCGTTAGCATTAATGCTACGCCATTAATGCTACGGCCCCCTACTCCTACAAATGTGCACTGAAAAAGGAGAGTTAGTCTTTGAAAAGAAAAGTGATTTATTTCCTAATGGAACTCCTTTTTAAATACTTCTGACAGCTTCCTCCTGAACACAGCTACTTTATTTTTCATTTTTGAGAAAATGTACTGGAGCTAAATGTACAGAAAAAAAAATCTAATTCCACTTATTATTATTATCAGATGAATAAAGAAAGGAAGGATGTTAAAACTGCACAAAAAGGTGAAAAACAAAAGTGAGTCACTCAGCAGTTTGGAGGAGGCTGCAAGCCCCTGCTTTGGAGCCAGGGGGCAGCCATGTTTGTTGCCCCACTCCCATGTCCACTCTGCTCCAGTGATCTGGACAGCACACACACACACACACACATACACACACACACACACACACACACACATACACACACACGCAGCCCAGCTCATAACTGTCTGGGCTACAGTTTTAAGCCTGAGAGCTTGTGGACTAAAGGGGAGCTGGCTAACGTCCCAGTGCATTTCTCAACATATTTATAAGGATTGAGGATTTTGTAATCACCGTTCCAAACACAGTGCCAAGCGTTAATTGCTGTGCTATAAAGACAAACAAGGACAGGACTGTTATTTTGGTGCCATGGTGACGGGCTTTGCATCATAACTAACACTTGATTGAACAACTTTACACCATGGACAGTCTCTCATACGCTGGCCTTGGATGGATCAAGTAGAAATACTTTAACTAAGAAGACACTGAGATGGCCAATAATAATTGACAATAATTGATAGTAAGTACTTAGTGTTAAATAAAGAGCTATTAAAATTTAGTTATCACAGTGGTTCAAAATTAGATACTAATTACTCTTTAATCAATACAGTAGCTTGCAGTGAGCAGTACGGAATACAACTTAAGATCTTAACATTTTTTTTTTGTTGAATGATATTAAAATATTTAAGCAAGATCAATAATATTTTTATATAGGGAGGCTACACCTTTGCTACAAATAAAACCATCACATTAGCTTCCAGCACATACCTGTCTGTGAACAATTCAGCCAAAAGTGGCATGACGTTACAACTCACCCCACAGGTGAGGGTAATCATAATAGAGACGCTAGTTGTTGGCAGAAAGTTGGTAGAAGTCTAATAAATACAGTATATTTATATTCTATTTAAAGCAAATAAGTTTAAAGCTTTTTGTATACAAATACATACATTAATATAATCGCCAGGCTGTGACAAACACTGGTTCATATAGTGTTGACGACAAAATAGGACAGCAAATTTCAGAATGATATTTAAATGGCATCTATAGTCATTTAATAGTGAATAAATTAGATATTAGATATTAGATATCACATTAGATACATGATTTAAAATTTTTGTTTTGATTTTATATGGGGGGGATTTTCATATGCCACAGTGTACTTTGGGAGGCTTAAATGTAAAACTAACCTTGTCATGTGGAGGCTGTACTTTAGCCTGGCTAAGTCTGAATGTGAGCTGTTTACATTACCACAGACAGAATTATATACACCGGTCAGTGATTAACAACACTTATGATGAAAAAAATGCAGATCATATTGGTTTGGGAATATGTGAAGGAGACCAAAAGAATGTTTTACTTGAATCTGTTTAACTAGATAAAAAAGCCAGCAATGGGCTGATTAGGCTGTGCCCTGCTCTTCGCTAATGAATGAAGAACTACTGTAGATAGGCCTGTCACGATCATGAGATTTTAGCTGACAAATTAATTGGCATATAAATTATTGCAATTAAGAATTTCTTTTTTATTAATTGTATGCAACTACTTAAGTGCAATCCCAAAGTGGTCAAATCTTGTTTAATAGCTGCTAATACTTAGTAGCTCCAACTGACTACAGGAACAGCGTGAACTCAAATAAACAAACATTACTCACCACTGCCCTCCAAAGGTGCTATTAAAAAACATCAAATAAACAAACATCACTCACAGCTGCCCTCTAAAGGTGTTTTAGGACCAGTTAGAAGTTAAAACTTTTGTTGTTTTTCATAAGATTCATGACGTGACTCAATAAAATGAAAATTCTGAAAGTATTCTGTTAATTATAGTGTAAACATATGATTGTGAAAACTAATAACAGTGGAAAATAATTGAGATTATGTAATGACTGTGACCAGCCTAACCTTACTGTTAAAGTAATAAGAACATTTGCATTCATTAAGGAATCTTACTGTAAACAGTTACTGCTTAATGAGCCCACTGCGTTAGTTGAAGTGACCCCTGCTTTCAGTGAAATGATTAATAGAAATCAGGCTACCTATTAGGAGCGTTTAGCTGTATTTACAGGCTATTTAATGAACATGACAATTCAGCAGGAGATGTACATAAAGTATCCTGCTTGGAAAACGTAGTTTAGTATCTGCTAGACAGGCAGTTACCAGCATCCAAGATCCCCAATAATGACATCATACTGCAATTAATTAATACAGTCAGTCTGGAACACAATGGAGGCCAGTCATTGTGTTTTGTGGGCAGTTTGCCCCAGTGTGACTTTTAAGTGAAAGCTCTAGTTTTACTCATGATACTCTACCATGCTAACCTCTTAATCAAACAGCCTACAGGCATTTCACTGTTACAAAGGCTGCTTCTGTCTCTCATAGTGCTGAGATGAATGAAGTGGTGTGAACAGTCATTTAGAAAATTTTCATTTGCTGTTTGTGCATTTGTTACCATTGATAACTTCTTTGTAGAATTCAGGGAAATGCCGTTATGAAACCACAGATAACCTGTCTGCTTAACGTCTTTTCCAATACAACACTCAGCAACAAGGCCACAGGGGAAGAAAACACACACACACACACACACACACACACACACACACACACACACACACACTTAGGTCTGACTTGCTTAAATAGAGATGAGAGCGGACTTGGTTTCTTAACGGTCAAAGCGTCTGAAACTACCAGACGTGCACTTTGTGTGCAGTTAGAGCTCCAGGTTTGAGTCATCAGTGGAGATGATTTAGAGTTAATCACTCCAGGTCACTTCAGGTCACACAAGAGCAAAGACGTGCAAAAGATAAGATGCATGAAGTTGACTTTGTGAGTTTGCAATGCATGATAAGTCACGAATCAAAGATGTGACAACCTACAAAAGCAGCTGTATCATGAAAAATAGTTTATTGTCTCACAGTTTATATATGAATACAATAAATAGTCCAGTACAGACAGTACAGTACAATACAATACTATGTGACACTCATGATCTAAAAGACACTCATGATTTGAAGTCGAAACATAAAAAGGAGTATGAATTCCACCCTCAAAGTCCTCTCATATAAAGCAAGAGAGTCACAGTACATTCTCAGAGAGGAACGAAAACTGCCTCACACGACATGAGCAAAGCCCCGTGCCTCGACGGTCAATGGTACAGACTTTTCTTTGGAATGAGTGACGATTTCAGAGGAGTAAAACAGTTAAACACGCGCACACAAGCATTGCAATTTTCAAGCAGCCTTACAGGCAGATGCCTGTCAGAGATCCTGAACATGTAACGGAACAGCAAAATATGACATTTACATACTTTTACCTCAGGGCTGAGACACAAGAAAAAAAACTATTTAGACATCTTCTCCCCCACCCAACAGGCAAAAAAAGTAGAATTATGACGTCTTTCTGCCTCGGATTGAATTTGCATGCGGATGTCAGACATCTAGCAGAGGATGCCATTTGCAGACAGCACACCCATGCTCTGTTAACCATGCTTATAGAACACTACCTCTAGCAAAGTGATGCAAATGCTGCTTAAGTGTCTCTCTGATCTGAAAGTAAACACTGCTGCACAGTGTAGAAGAGCAGTGAATGACTACTAGGCCTAAACAAAATAGGCCTAGAGCAAAACAGTCTCCAAAGTTTTGCCTATCTTTGACCTACAGAACTCACCAAGCTACTGTACTCAATCAGTGTCCAGAAAACTAATAATCTGTAACACTTTACTGTAGGGCAGTGCTCATACAGCTACATGACACCTATCTAAACATTTATAAAGGCTGGAAGGTTTGATCCTCTGAGCCGACATTATGTGACTGAGGTGCCCTTGAGCAAGGCACCTGAACCCCAACTGCTCTCCAGGCGCTGCGGATAGGCCTGCCCACTGCTTCGGGCAATTGTGCTCACTGCCCCCTAGTGTGTGTCTTCACTAGTGTGTATGTAGGTGTTTTAATAAATGGATGAGTTAAATTGCAGAGGTGAAATTTACCCGTTGTGGGACTAATAAGCGTCTCTTAATTGGGTGAAATGACATAACATATCATAACAATGAACTTTGTAGCTTTGTAATAAAATGCTAATAATGTGACAGCTTAAATCTTACAAATGGCAATCTCACTTTCCCCAAGGGCTGCAGCAAATGCTGACTTGTTTTATCCAGCCTGACATGGTAAGCTGTCATATTATCAGCATTATGACAATGTGATATACACTATGCTACAAAGTCTACATCATTATACCCCAGAAAGTGTCATGACCTAATATCAAAATAATGAAAATAACACCTGAAACAGATGTTACGCAAACTTGATATCAAAGTTGCTAAATGTATGAATGGCACATGACACCTATTGGAATAAGCATTTAGAAATGTTTCTGTAGGTTTATGTCAGTTGTCATGAAGGGCTTATGCAGGTGTCATGTAGGTTTTTGAACACTGCCATAAAGTGTTACCCAATAATGAAATGATTTGGCACAATTTGTTAGTGTAACATTATCTGTTTGCTTTAACCTACAGAAGTCATTGTTTTTGCTATTGCAAAAAAGCAAGAATTAGTACAATTCTCAATTTCTATTATGACTTGAATTTGATGAAAAACTATTATGGTGTGTGCAAGAGAAAACATTTTTGTCAGGCAGTTGTTAAAAGTGTAATTAATTGCATACATATGTAATGAAACATTGAAAAACCTACAGTGATAACTCCATACACTTCTAAGGGTTAAACTGAGAGCTGAAACTCAAAGTAACCATAGTGAGACCACAGATTTGCAGTATGCTGCATCTTACTCACATTACCTACAGCAATGGCCAATCCCCCAGACCTTCATATATATATATATATATATGTATATATTGTCATACAGGTGTCAGAAATGCAAGTCTATTTGAGATTACTTAACATCCCACTGTGGTTTAAGGCAAGTGAGTGCTGATTTGGGCATTTCTGTTTGCACAATGCTAATATAATGAGGTATAAGCTCCCATTATTTGTTAGTTACATCCAACTCAGCTCTAGTGCAAAACTAAACAAGCAAGAACTGAACAATTCCTTTAATTACCCAAGACAGAACAGATTACCCAAATCTTGTGGGCCAACCATCAACAAGACAATGAGTGCTGGATGCTCAGGTATGATCTATAAGTTGCAATGTGCAGTTTTAAAAATTTGCAATTGATATCAAGACAGACTCTCTCTCTCTCTCTTGCCTTGTTGTGTGATGTGTTTTATGAGATTCTCCACAGAAAGGCCTATTTTGGTCCAGGATTTGGACTCTATGCTCATAATATTAGATTTTCTTTTTTCTTTTTTCTTAGATTAGTAGTTTTGAAGCTTCTTTGGCAGCTTGATGCTGCTCTGTAGTGCAATGCAAGGACATTCCAAAGAAAACACAGATAAAGAGCATTCACATAGGACATTTTCACATTTCTCTTTTTTTTCCCCACACTGGCATTCTTAAGCTTTAGAATCTCATTTAAAAGGCTTCAGACGTCAAATGGCAGTTGTGCTTTTGTATTTGATATTGCACTTGATACAAAGGAATATATATCTTGCTGGGTATGTCCAGTGCATCTGTCTCTTAAAGCAAAAGCTGTTCGTTTTTTTTCTTTTCTTTTTTTCACATTCAAAAATAACATTGCCTTACAGGAAGTCACGCTCGCACAAGGAAATCTCTGTGCAGTGCAACTGAAAGTGATAGTGCTGAAATGATGGGTTCCGAAATTGATACATCTAGAAAATAACACATCTCTACATAATTTTTTGCTAAGGAAAGCACAACATGTGCTAAGCTCAAAGCGTTGCTTAAAAGATCTCATTTCCTTGAGCAAATCAGGAGAAAGCTGTTTTAAATCAAACTGAGAAGCAATACATGTTTCAGTATCAAAGAATATATAAAACACATTCTGATATCTTGGTCCTTTATGTATGCTTAAAAGGGCTTTACAAAAATAGGAAGAGGATGCTAGTAATAAACGGCATTTCAATTAGTTGGTTGGTTGATTGGCCAATGAATTAATTATTTGATTGACTGGCTGACTGATTCCTAATCAATCAGGCAAACTCATGAGTGTCTTGCTCAGTAACAATAATAATTCACATACACATACAGAATACAGTATATATGCATAATATCAACATTTATGGCACAAGCATATGTGCAACTCAAAGCATTTGGCACTTAAAGAAACACTTGAGGTAGCAGTCCATCTTCGCATTCTGAAAGGTGCAGGGAGCAGTGTTTTTACAGTTAAGCAGTATTAAGAGATTGAAAAAAACAGGATGTTATCATGAAATCAGAGCAGCACTTCTTCTGAAAGTACTTTTTGAAAGCCACCCACCACCCACCAAACAACACCCAGGCCTGCTGTGGTCAGAGACAACACCACTGAAAATTACAATGCTACAGCCAATGGCATGAGCTAAACAGTACATTCACATGCAAAATGTCCACCTTGACTGCAGAAATATCTTGGCAAATTAAATTGCCTTATTTACAACTGTTGTATCTAATATTTCACAAATTTGAGACTGTCGTGTGAAAATTATAAGACAATTCAACTTATTTTTAGACACTTTACCAGCAAAAAATGGCTCTAAACAAGTAAAAAATGTAGAAATAAGTAGAATAATGTTATAATATGCTTACAACAATCTCATAATGAGAAATATTACATATACTGACTACATATAAGATGTCTTCACCTGCCAAGAAATTATTTTTTGCACTGAAATGACTAAATGTTCAATAGAGAGATGCATTAAAAATATATCTAACAAGCTTCTCCTTAGCTTACGATACAGCATGGCTATACACAAGTGCAGCAAAAAAGCTCCAGCTGTCTCTTTTTCATAACATTGGGCCAGAGTTTAGTTGGCTAATGCACTTGGCCTGTTTGTTGTCAGGTTATTGAAATATATTGTAGTAATGGTGCACAGTATTATGCCCCAACCTCTTAGGGCCAGTTTCCCAGACCCAGATTAGGCCTAAGTCTGGACTAATAAGGATTTTCAATGGTAAGTCACCATTGGCATTATGATTTAGTGCAAGACTAGACTTAATCTGTATGGGAAACTAGCTGATGATGCAACATTTTCCACGGATGTTATATAAAAAAAAAAACTTTCTTCGCAATGTACTGCAGAGTCTGGGCCAACACAAAAAGCAACTGGAGGAGTGATGAGAGGAGAAGAAAACAGAGGAGAGCAGGATAATGAGATACGAGGCGATGACAGGTGAAGAGGAGTGAAGAGAGAAGAGCAAATGTTGAGGAGAGCTAAACTGGAGTGGGGAAGAGGTAGTGTTTAGGAAAACAGCCAGACTATGACTGAAAAAGTGCTCGTTCACAAGTGCGGAGTCATACCCCCTGCACCTTTACACAATCGTTGAAAAGAGTCAGAGACCAAATCTGCTCAGATCAGCTCAATATCCCATTGCAGTTAATCACTTCACTGTGGAGGTCCTCACTGCTAGACACTAGGGTTCTTTGGCATCACAGACAGAGCATTCCGAAATGTCTTTAGAATGTGGTCCCCTAATCAGTGATGGAGGGGTCACTCAGAGGTCATCAGACCAGCGCCTTCGAGCACATAGAGTGTGTGTGTGGCTCAGCTACTCTTTACCATCCTTGACGACAGTCACCTGAGAGATGGTTTTCTTGACACGCAGCGCAGTAAGGCGAGCAGCAGAGTTGGCATACCAGCACTCCCTCATGATTTTACCCATCACCCGCAGTGCCTGTGGACACACAGACATGACTGTTAAAAAGTCCTACATATAACATGGTGCATAGTTTGGGGTTTTGTTTGTCCTGAATATGTTTATTTTTTGTTGGTGCAGCTTGGTACAAGCAAAAAAGCACCAAAGATCTAAAAAAAAAAAACATTCACTACAAACCCCTGAGAAATTCAAGACATTTTTGGTCTTTTTATTTGTAACTGAGCAGAGAGATCATGACCTTAACTTACTTTGATATCACTTTACAATAAGACTACCCTTATAAAGGCTTTATAAATCGTTAAAAATTAGTTTATGAATAGTTTATAATTTGGTCATCTTAGAAATCATTAATAAGCAGTTATAACACATAAATATGACAGGTAATACCTTTTGCTTGTCAAATAGTGAGCCAATATTCATCTATACTGCAAGCTCAGATCTTACTTTTTCAGCATTATATGTGTCAACTTCATCAGATATTCATATTCATCAGATGTAACAACTCACTGTTGCCCACTTCATTAATGTGTTATAACTGTTTATTAATTATTGTTAAGGTGTTTATGACTTAATTAATAACCATTAATAAACTCACTTTAAACCATTCACAAACACTTTATGGGGTAGTCTTATTTTAAAGTGGTCAATTAGACTGATAAGGGATGGCCAGCTGATTTCACAGCTCATGCAATATAAGGTAGATTGTGATTTGTTGTAGTAAATTAGTGTTATATATGATGTCTAAGAAAACACCAAATAAAATTGTAATTCCAAAAAGGTAGTTAGGCAGCAGTACAAAAAATATTTCTTCATAGGTCACAACGTATATTTGTGCTGAAACAAGAGTACAGATAATTACTGACTTGCTACTGGGTTAAGAGTTTGAGTAAGAATACTGTGCTGGGCCTTAAAAATACACTGCGGTGATGGTGTACGTTAATATGCTGTAAACTCTGGTTTCCAAGACCCAGATTTTGGTTAGGTTGGCACTTTTCTTTTTTTTACCCAATTTTCTCTGCAGTTTAGTCTTCTCCAATTCCACCCGCTAGTTAGGACTCCCCCAATCACACAATACTATCAACTTTAGGAGGGTGAAGGCTAACACAGGCTTCCTCCGAGACTTGTGAAGCGCCACCGCTTCTTTTCGAACTGCTGCTCACGCAACGTCATTGGACAGCTGAACGCGCTCGGAGGAAAGAGCCAACCGCCAGATCTGTTACGTCAGCTAACAGATGCGCTGAGTGATGGGGGGAGAAGGAGGGGCCATCCCACCCACCCAGAGAGAGCGAGGCCAATTGTGCTCTCTTGGACTCCCAGCTACGGATGGCTGTAGCATCACCAGGGATCGAACTCGCGATCTCCTGATGATAGGGCCAACGCTTAGACGGTTGCTCCACTCGGGAGCCCAGGTTGGCACTTTTCAATGGTGAATCACCACTAAAAAAAAATTAAAAAGGGAGAGGTTTGAAATAGATTATGAAAAAAATACAAAAATAACAAAATATTATTTGGATAAGCTGAGTCTGGTCTGGTACACATTAAGCCTGTGAACTGTGAGTGAAAGCTCAGTGCTTCACCTTTTTAAACACTAGATACTAGATTAGTACTAGATACTAATCTGCAAAAGTGTTGTAACTCAAGCCGTCATGCATGCTAACAGGTTTTCAATTGCATCGATTGCATGTGGATATCACATCAGTGTGCTTCACAACTGCGAATCCATATGCATCTTGCAGGCATTTAAACTTTGGTACTAATTTTGATCCACACTTTCCTGATGAATGTCCTTAATAAGTACACATTGAGCAGTGTAGATGTTTGAGCTCTGGCCACAGCCATTCCATTATGGCATTACAGTGTTATATTTAAACCATAACTCTAGCTTTGTGTGATGTTTAAATTGTTCCCTCCTGACACACAGAGTCCCTCACCTCGCAGCTCTGCCACTGGTTGGGGATGCTCGGTCTCAGTTTCAGATCACACACCACTCTCCTCATTTCCTCCACCGATGGGTCTGAAGGCACCAGGTCATAATAAGGCAGCTGGAAATCCTCATGAATCCCTGGGAGGGCATAGAAATGAGGCTCACATGTCATGCCACAACACCGAAATATATCAAATCTACTTTAACTGCAATGTGTAATTTCTAATGTCATGATATAATTTTTTTCTACTGCTAAAAACTGTCTTAGATGCAAAAAAAGGGTAGCACTTATCGATATTTACTCCATTTACAAGTGTTCCATTCAAGAGTACTGTAGGACCAAGGTTGGGAATCACTGATTTATAGCAACTGATCTTTCCATTATCCGCCCACTAATGTGTTTTTTTGTAGTTACTGTTGGGAGGTTGGCAAGCTTTGGTAGAATGGAAGAAAAATGCTCCACCCACAAATGTGTTTTTTGCATTCTAAAAGCACTCAGGTTAACATATTTTGATGAAAAATGAGACTTTATCACAATTTCTTGTTGAACCTGAATGCATTTGCAATATGTAAGAGCATGGGTAAGTCAACTGTGGCACACAACGCCACATTTAGTGTGTGTTACTACTTTCAACTGATATTTATTTTGTACCCTTTGTAAAGGGTTTTTTGTAGAGATAGACGACTGACAGGCTAAGCAGGAAGTTCACTGGCTTCAGCTGTCTAAGCATTGCTATTTATCTGAGTATACATTGTTGTCTATAGGTAAGGAAAGTGGTCATATTCCTCCTTGCTGTCTGCATTCAAAACAGCTTAACCCCTTACAATCCCAGGCTTCCTACATACTAAGACTTATTACTCTGTAACCACAGGGACTCCAATGCAAACTGGCTGAGATATTCTTAGGTGTTAGAAGTGTGAAATAAAACTTGAGGCCTGCTGACGGGCCCTGGCCATTTAAAGGGTTGACAATGAATTGGATTTGATGCACAGTTGTAAGACCGCATAAGACCCCAGTAAAACAGTGTTCAATAATATTTCGATTAGAGTTCAGTTATATTTTAATCTTCATAGTTACATGGCTCACCATATATTCTGCTATTATACTGTATTCATATCTACTGTATTTGCATGGCCACAAAATGATAGTTTCACCAAGCAATATCAATAAAGCTGAGTTACTTAAGGACAGAGGCAGAGAGAAACAAGCAGAGACTTAGCTAGTTAAGAAAGCTGAAGCCAGTAAACTATCGGCTTAGCCTAAAAAAAATTGTACACCTGATCTATGCTAACGCAAAATAAAAATAATTTTAAATTATAATGCATGCTCATAAATTACATATTTTGACCAAAAACAAGGTTTGCGCTACTTTTAATTACGCTGAATGGGGTTTCGTCTGAATTGTCCAGCCTGTCCAGCAACAGTAGCTCTAAAAAATGCATTTGTTGGCAGAGCATGGTAGGTTAACTGTATAGGCCAATTGTATCAAAGAGCAGTAATGCTTGGAAGTAGCAACACTTATTTTTGCCCATGTAGTTATTTGCTATCACTGGACAAAACTACTTCCTTCCTAATTCAATCCACTCTGATTCACTGTGTTGTTCACTAGCAGTCGGATTCATTTGGAGCAACAGTGCAGTTCAACAGCTCTTTCATTAAGCTGTTACCTCTAACAGAGCACCTCCGGGCCAGCTCCCAGAACACCAGCCCCAGAGAGTAGATATCCGCCCGCTTAAACGACTCAAAGCTGTTCATGTTAATGGTGTCATCCAGAATCTCAGGAGCCATATACCTGCACACGCGCACACACACACAAAGGCACATAAATACACACCTCTGAGTCATGTACATTAAGCCCTGTTTAAGATGTGCTTTCATGCCAAAAAGTAAGCAATGATCCATCTGTCCGTTAGAGGGAAACCAGGTGTGCGGAGTTCAGAGAAAGGGCAGTACACGCCTAAGGACATCAGCACACATATGTACAAACACATGTACACACACACACTCAATAGAGCTAATGGACACTGATCCCTGTATTCAGAGGCTGGGCATATGGTCTGCTGAAAATAGCAGGTCAGAATGACTCAGTAATGGTGAGCTGATAGCCAGTGTTATGGCTCACTGAGCCATAGGCCTTTCCACTCAGTTCCACAATGGCCAATGAACTTTACAAATTATGCTACTTATGCATGTTTACTATATAAATTGTGGGGCTATTCTAGCAGTAATATCTGGCATACTTTGAGTTAGGGATACACTGACATGGGAATTGCGGCCTGAGGTCGACAGTCAATATTTTTCACGTACGTATCTGTCGATGCTGATGCCATTTCCAATACAAAACATTTATAAAATGTAGAAATTGGCACTACATCTACCTGGATTACATTACAGAACAACTTTCTACTCTTCTGGAAAACAATAAATACATCATCGAATATCAGTTTGAAATATCAGTCAAATCCAAATGTCTGTCTGAAGACAATGATCCACTTTAAACAATTATCTGCTGATACCGATATGATCTGATATCATCCTGCATCTCTAGTTAAGGAACTCATGCTCCTTTTCATAGTTATAAAGCAACACTGAACCTTCGTTTCTACGAACCTAGAATCCATCAAAACATAATCTGCTCCATGATTTGAACTAGTTTTTGTAGATATTAAAATAATTAAATACAATTTCCAAACTTTACCTCAAAAAGGAAAACATTTCAACTCAGTCTCTGTCTGCTGTGTCTGTAGTGTGAGGTCAGTTACAGTTATTTGACATGTTTCCCCGAAAGTAGAAACGAGAAAACACACTAATAATAGAAGCCACTGAGCAGCTGCTTAATTCTGTTAGTTTTGCAGAGGATATAGATATGTAGTTTCTTCACTCAAACGCATTTGTAAATTAAGATCTTCTAATTAATCGCCACTGTAAAAACATTCACTGTACAATTACAGCAAATTACTGGCTACTAATTGCATTACTTTCACAGTAATTCACTGTAGCATATTAACAGTAAATAACAGTAAAACAGCAACAATATACTGCTTACAAGATTACTGTGATGTACCTGTACTCTCCTTTATTTCTACATAATAACTGTAAAACTGAAATGCTACTCAGTTGCTGTTGATTTACAGAAAATTTTCGTATAAAAAAGAATTACATTTTATCAGCCATATAAATGTTTTTTTTAATAAAAAATGTACATGCAAGTAAAATATAAATGTAAAATGTAAATGTTAGTAAATTAAAACCAGTATTAAAGAATTTCATTTGCCATGTTTTGCAGTGTATATGCACAGGATGTCTCGAGTATGCATTTGTAAATGTAATTTGCTGTGTTATCACAGAAAATATCTTAAGGTGTGTTAATTTCACAACCATAATATGTTATCAACATAGTAACACAGTGATAGACAACCAGCTAACACTGCTACCCGACTGCCATTCAGCTCTACAAACACAGAAGAGCCTCACAGGTTTAAATGAGTGAGCATGAATACCACAAAACCTTAGGAAAACCTTAGAAAAGCAACAGTAGCCTGGAATTACTTTTTATTGCGGAGCTCCAGTGTTGAATAAAGCTTCAAAAGAATAGCCTGGGTAAGTCATTCTCTCATATCAGACTCATCCTAAAACCTGTATTTAACAGCTGTAGTTTCAGGTTAGCTGATTTTCTGTGTTTTCTAAGTACAGGAAAATAATTATTTTGTTGTTGTGTTGTTGCAAGTAGAGTCTATGTTGAAAGCACTTGATTCTTTTAACAGCTTTCATTGCTGAAAAGGAAAGGCTCAGACCTCTTGGTGCCAACTCTGTGGTTGACTGGGATGTCGATGGTGTTGGTGGTAGAGTCGTGTTTGACGGCCAACCCTAGGTCAGCGATCACTGCCGTGCCGTTCTTCTTCACCAGGATATTCTTGGACTTCATATCTCTGTGAGCGATTGCTGGCTTCCCTGAAACATACACATACATTACAGTCAAAATAATAGGTTAATTCAACTATTCAGGAGCCTGAAGACCCAAACAGAAGACAGAACATTCAACACTATCCATATGATCATTGGGAGTTGGAAACAACGTGACGGCACTTAGTAATAAAAATGAATACCCGCAGAAAGTGGTGCTATTATATATGAAGGTTATGACGTCATACTGCTTAAATTAAGCTGGTAAGGCCAACATGATAAAGTGACTATTTCTGCTGCTTAATCAGTTCTCCAGTAATTTCGTAGTGCTGTTATGTTTATTTGATATGCAAAGAATGTGAGCTAACAAAGCTGAAAATTTGTTTCTCTAATAAACCCAGTCAACAATAAGGTCTTATCGATCCAAACTGTGCTCTGAATGAGCTTGTGCAAAAAAATCACAGTACATTCAACAATAAAGAACGCCTTGTGCATCTTTTATACATTGATAGAAAACATGATGGCACACAAAAAGCTCCAAATCTGCATGTGGATAAGTTTCACTGAGGCCAACGTGGACATGCATGCACTGAATCTCTTCTGGTGGCAGATTTATATGAGTTATAAGGGCCTTCGCCAAATTCACAGAATGGATCGCCGCTGAGATGGTTGGTTCAGTAACACTGAAACCCTTCTTTATCTCCACTGGTCTGACAACATGGTAAGACATGAACAGCCGCAAAGTACAGATCTAAATATATCATCATTCATTTAGACAATTGATTATGTATACATATTTTCTACTTTACTTCAGGCAGGCACAAAAAGAAGTAGAGATAAATACTCTACCAATAAAATATCAATAACTAGTCATGCCTTAACCTCTTATTCTCCAGGGTATATTTTGGTTTGTCCATTTGAATTCACATGACCAAATCGTAAGGCAAATTATTCAGTAACTGCATGAAATAAATGTAAATTCTTATTTATTTATTTATTTATTTATTTAAAAGGCTCCCCTCAAATTAACAGAAAATGTGTTATATGATCATACACATTGCTATATGCTTACAATTTACTGCTGAAAGCCAAAAATCTTAGACACTCTTTGTACTATTTTATAAAAATTTTTACAGAGTATGTTACTGAAGAGACACCATCTGTTTATAGTTTATAGCCCAGAATTGTGGAAAAATGGGTCGACTTACAGTAGGAAAAAAACCTTGTAAGTTCAGCTTCTTCAATTATAAGGGTTTAAAATTGCATTACCCATCTATTTGACTGGAAAGAAGACAGTCACAGCTCTCATATGACACCCACCTTTTGAATGTAGCTTATGAAATATGAAAGTTATGAAGAATATGACGAAGTGCGTTTTGGAACCACCAGTGGTCTCAAGGAGTTGAAGAGGTTAACCATGATTCATAGCATAATTAGTAGTTAAGGTCATCACAGTAATCAGGGGAACATATTAAGTAGTAATTAATAGTTATGTAACAGGACGTAAAAATGTAAACACAGCTTTGAACTATGATTATAATGAGGCAGCTAAATATGGCAAGTAGATTAATGAACAGATACTTAACACCACTAACACATAAGCATGAGCAAGTTATGCTTATATTACTGCTTTAGATGAGTAAACACACTTTATCTATTCATTGGCAGTGCAATTAGCAGCAGCTAGTGCACAATAATATGCCTGAGTCGATTGACGATAGCACTGGGAACTGCAGACAGTTTGGATCAATTGCAATGGCTAATTTAGTCAGAGCACTTAAACGTCAGAAGATCAGTGGTTTTAACACAAGAGGAAAGCATATGTGTCTTGAAATATGGGTTTTCTTTTAATGCATAGTTTATGTCATATATTGCTCCTGATATGTTGTCTGGCTTCAGAAAGCTGTAAATCAGAATGAAGCAGCGCTTTTCTTTTACTGTGGTCATGATTGTTAAACAGATAAAACCGTACTGTGGCCTTCCAACACGTGAGAGCTTCGTGAAGCATGACTGGTTAACTGGCTGAGACTGTGGTTCCATTAAAGCTATAAAAATTTATAAGCAATTTATAGTTTTAAAAGCGTGATTTTTTCAAACCATCGCAAACAAAGATAAAGCAAAGGTAGTTTAGCTAACTTTGCCAGTGTCTGAGCAGTTTTCTCTGGTTTAAACAGGCTTCTCTGCTGCATTACTGCATTACTTGCTGTGCTGAAATGGGTTACTATGTAGAGAAAGGTGTCACAAATCTCAGCTGAAAGGCTCCTCAGTCTGTGGGTTAATATCAACCTTTCAGGCAGTATTTGTGGTGCTTTTCTCTTATGTGAGCTGAAAATGCAAATGCGGATGTTTTTATTTTATTCTTTTATTTATTTTATTTAGTTTTTCCATGCCAATAGTATCGTTAATTAGCAGCGGCTAGGAGGCACAATTGGATGATGTTATATTGCACACGACCTCACAAGCCTGCACAGTTAATGAGTTAATAAACTAGGAACTAATGACAGACTAAACAATGAGTTTATGAGTGTACTTAATTACTAATGACTACGTGTTTAATCAGTTACTAAGTAACAACTGATGCCTAATGAACAGTTAACTAATAATATCAATAATGTTAACTAATATATCAAAATAGTTAACTAATATATCAATAATAATCAATGACTGACTAACATTTAATTAATAATTAGTATACAACCCTTAATGTGAAGTCTTACCAGTGGTCTTAAACTCTCGCCCTGTGCAGCTTTGCATGAAGAACTACAGCGGAATGCCTCAATCTGTTAAGCTTATCAGGACTAATTTCAGAACTACATGTTGCTGGGAAGACTTCTGTAACTTAGCAACTAGTTCAAAATTAGAAAATCTTATAGAGACAATTGTCAACACTGTAGACTATTTTGCATTTATTTATAAGAAATCAATGTCAACAAATTCTGAGAAGGAACTACTAAAAAAAGCTTTAGAGGTGAACAACAACAACAACATCAAATTAAAGAGATTTGTCACCTCCACTAGGAGGCAGGGTAAGTAATCAGGCAGTGCAGCTAAATCTATTTTGACACAGGTTCTTAAAGAGGATTTACCTCAGCTAGCCAAATGCAGAGCAGACTTCTGACCTGAGAGTGGACTAGACACAGTTTTGGAAATGCAGTCTTTTCACCGAGGCCACCAGGTCACACTGATTTAAGAGTTAAACTGCATGAGCATTGACTTGTTAAGGTTTAGAATTCAGTAACTACACAGAAAACATAGAAAGCAGAGAGATTATTAACTCATTTTGCAAACAAGTTATTAAGTTATAGAAGTGAAGAATGGAATATTTAGTTACCACACTGAAAAAAGCGTGTTGTGTCTTTACATAATTTCCACATGAATAAATATATAACCAAAAGTAAGTAAACTGGAAGACAAAACTGTGTTGATGTAATATGTTTATCCCATGTAAATGATGTAGACTTCTGTAAACTTAACACATTATTTTTCAGTGCACTATGAATTATGTAGTAAATACTGTGGAACTAATAAATAAGCTGTGCAGCTATGAGAGTGAGAAAAACTGAAATGTGTTATTCCTCAAAGTTTCCTCAGAGTTTAGGGGTTCATCCCTAAGTGGCCAAGACCCACCTGCAGGTCCAAACTTTTATTCCTCACTTCTGTAACTTCAGAATAATTCAGCCAGTTTGCACCAAAGTCTGTGCAGTTAATGAATAATAAGGCTTATGACCGGGGTCGGCAGCATGTGGCTCTTTTACCGCGCTGTTGTGGCTCCACAGCAGAATTACATTGTTAGGTAGAAATAAAATAATCCTCCTTTGTAGTTAAATTAAGCTCTGCTGATCGTTGAAGACAGGTTTAACAATAAATGGTGTTAAACGCTGAAGTTAATGTAGCCTATATCTGCTAAATCACCAAGCTTTGACCCTGAAGGTTGGCACGCAGACAACATGCTCGCCTACCTATTTTTAAGACGAACATCAATAATTTGAGACGAATTGACTCATTTGCATTTATAAGCACTCTAGTTGGTTTACTGTGGTGTTTAATCTGTAACGAGAAACTGTGACACACTAAAAAGTCGTGAAGCTGTAGTCAGTTTTTTTGTCGCCATTTCCAGAATGTAACTGCTGCACCATTTAAGGTGGAACGGAACAATTCGAATAAGAATCTGGCGAATGAGTTGAATGCTGAGAGAAACTGTTCCACTTTTCTGGAAAAGTTTCCTGCCAGAGATGCGAGAAAAGCAGCAACTGCTGAGCTAAAGCTTAAAGCAGAGCAAAGTAAATCTGTGTTTTTGTTCAGGTTTTATTTTTACTGAGACATATTTACAGCCAAGATGGCAAAATGGACATAAAACGTTGTGGCTTCCAAGGAGGATAGATTTTTGTTGAAAGGACAAAATGGCTCTTCTTAACATTTGGGTTGCAGACCTCTGGCTTACGGTATGTGTCCAATGCACATGAATTGGTCAACCGAAATTTTGTCAGAAGAGAGTTGCACAAAAACTGCGAGTGGTGCGAAAATGACTCCCTGTGCAGTGAGAAAATTTGAGTCGGCTTCAATTTTATGCAAATTACACAAGGCAGCTGCACAGCACTGATCAATCAGGCAAAAGCAACTGTCCACTGTACATGCACAATGAGTGTTCTGTCTGGTAACATAGTTCCATCTGGACGACTTAGACTAAAAGTTAATAGCAGTTGTGTCTGGATCTAAATACAAAGACAAAAGTAAAAGAAAGAGCCAAACTTCCAGCCAACATATTGTCACTGTCCAAAAAAAAAAGTACCTCAATTTTTTCCAATTTACACTGTTGACATCATTCGAGCACACCCACGCCCCTTTACATCGTGTTAAAATTTCATGAAGAATGGGTCAATAGTAATTGGCTTGGAATATAATCTCTGTGCAACAATCATGAAATGTAAAGAACATTCCTGTAAAGTTGCCATTTTGAAGAACTTTGTTTTTCTTTATACTGAAGAGCATTTTAAGTTTAGCCGAGAGTAGCCTACTTAACATCTGAATTTATCTGACTGATTTTTTTGAAATCCAAGACTGACTGACAGGTTTATTTGTGTTCTGCTCTGTAGACAGTATTGTGGAGTTTAATGGGTTCACCTACATGCAACATGACTAAGTCTACTGTGGGTGGCATCAAAAGAACAGATCCAGGCCACTGCACCATGCCACACTGCCAGTGCACCACATTTCCAGTACGGCTAGTCTTCTGCAGTAGCAGCCTGTCCCATCTGAGAGACTTCGGCAGTGATATACAGGCCCCAGCTTTATTCATCAAATTTTGCTTGTGACAGCAAAAGTAGAGACAGCTACAATCACACAGTGAGCACTGATCCTACATACAGTAAAACTGAAATAGGGATGCTGTGCAAATGAGCACATTTTCACTTTCAGCTTCACTAAATAAATGACTAGTCCTGCACAGCCAGACACTGTCAATCATATTTTGAGCAGCTTTTACAGCTGCACTGTAGCCCATCATTAGATGTACTTACTTTCATAAATTCTGAAAATGTAATAAAAACACAATCCCTATGTGGATTTCATAACTGCAGAGAATGTAAAAATGCCCACATACAGCCTTCTTTTTCCAGAACAATGACATGGCTTTTAGAATAAGTGCAGCCCTAGCGAGTGGCTGCCTGATATAGAGGAGTGTTATTCAAAGAGGAAGACATATTTTTAAAGTGGATTTACCGCAGCTAGCTGACAGGAGAGTGGAACACTCAACAGGGGTGTAAATCTCTGACCTTACGATCGGATTCAATTCCAATTCCTTAGAAAAAGCAACTCAACTTTAGCCCACAATTTGATTTGTGTTGACTATTTTGCTAGTCAGAATGCGGTACAGTGAATGCACAAATGTGACTAGAGAAACTATTTACGCTGCACTGGAATACAGACAGTAACAACAATACGCCAAGGTTATTTTTATTTTTCATATTTGGACATAGTCTGACACTTTTATGGTTTTATAAATCATACAGAAAAAATTAGTGCCTAGTTTATTGAACACCATAATAACGGATTATACAGCAGTTAGTTTCGAAGTGTTTTATCCGTGCTGTTATTTGTGGTAACAGCATTTTTTTAACTGTCTGATTCCAGATTCTAAGTAACAACTCACTTTACTATACACTGCAGCTAATCTTAACTAAGTTTCTACTTTAATATAAAGTTTCAGCTTTCGCTGTTCAAAACAACAAAGAAATATGGTAACTTTTCAGTAAGAAGCAAAACTTTTTTTTAGCTGTAATGCAAGTTAATGTAAAGAGATTTTATTCCAAGCACTTTTGGAGCATTTCTATTGGTCCATTCACCATGAATTTTTCACACAGTGTGAAGAGCAGCTGCTGTGTTTAAATGGTGTAGAAATGGTGCAATCCCCCCCGCCCCCAACACTTAGCAGTGACCTGCAGTGCTGTCTTACCTTGAGTGCCGATGATCTCCATGTGTAGGTGAGCCAGGCCGCTGGCGATTGACAGCGCCAGAACAATCATACCATCCACAGACACTGTATACCTGTTCAGGTAATCAAACAGAGAGCCATGCTCATGATACTCCGACACCAGCCACAGCTGAGTCCACGAACCATTATCTAGAGAGAGAGAGAGTGAGAAAGAGAGCCCATCATGCTTCCAAAGAGGCAAAATAGCAATAGCTGAGGCTAATTTTTTGTGAAACTTACTGTACTGATATCGGTCTGCAGAAAGAGGTAATAATCAGGAGTGCTTTAACCTGCTTGTGGGCCCTGGGGCTAGGCGGTCAGGGGTCCTATGGTTCTAGTTACACACACATTGTGTAAAATTTTAAAACCGTTGTTTTTAATGAAAGTGCACACACTGCAGTCGTCAGGCAGTGACCTAAAGTTGAACAAAGCTGAAATTAGCTTTAGGTCTGTCACTTAAATGGTGGAACAGAAAATCTGAATAAGAAGATGGCAAATAGGACACCAGTTTCAGCCTCACCAAACTTAGACCCGGAACCAAACCAATAAAAGTCATAGTCAGTCAAGGTTTGAAATTTGCACTTAACTTGAGATAAACTTCAACTGGAGCTCATATGTGCTACCTGTGCTCCATCCAATCTGTCACACAATGCTTTTCCAGCAGTGTGTGGTACAGTTTACTCTGTTAAACCATCAACATTACCAAAACACGTCAAAACAGGTCCTCAACACGCTATATTGTATCGTTTGATCCAGTGGCGTAGGCAGGAATACGTCATTGGGTAGGCCTGTGAAAAACTGGGTAGGCCAACTTGGTAAACACAAAACCCAAAGAAGACGACATGATTGAAATGAAACCAAAACACGTGAGATGCATAAAGATGAGGAAAAACAACAAAGCAAACTTAAAAACCTAAACTAGGAAATACACAATACAGTGACAGCACTCACAGAAAACAAATCAAATTTAATAAATATTCTTTCCCCACTTGATTGAGTAGGCCTGTTATCAATCTGGGTAGTGGGAATAAATGAATCTCATTATCGGCCAATCAGAAGCCGTACTCAAAGCTAGTGCATTAAATCACCCCTGCTAATAAAAATACATTTCATTAAAATTAAATCTAATAAAATTAGAAAAATAATGTTTTTCTCAGACCAAAAGCATTACGAATTATATTAGTTCAATATCAGGTTTTTGTAAATATTTGTGTTATAGTTCATACTTTCTACTCAGATTATCTAACCCTTCTGAGGAAGTGCAGCCTGTGTGCATTCTAACATTTTATCTCTCTCATTAAGAGTCCTCTGCAGCAAAATCACTTAAATAAGTTAGATAACAGGCAGCCTAACTTGTCCTCAGGAGTCCTCAAGTGACCAAGAGAACACAAAAGCTTTCATGGCACCTGCTCATCCAATGTTTCTTCTGTGTATTAATGGGGAGTTTGTCCCCCTTTTGCTGCAGTAAAAGCCTCTACTCTTCTGGGAAGTCTTTACACTAGATGTTGGAACATTGCTGTGAGCATTTGATTGCATTCAGCATCAAGAGCAATAGTGAGGTCAGGTACCGACGTTGGATCAGCTCTGGATCACTCCAACTCATCCCAAAGATACTGGATGGAGTTTCATCACTCCAGAGAACACGGTTCCACTGCTCCACAGCCCAATGCTGGGGGTTTTTATACCCCTCTAAACGAAACTTAGCACTGTCATGAGGAAAATCCTATCAGTTTTAAGGATTTAACCGTGTCCTGCCTATATGCAGTCACCACCTCTTTACTTCAATCACAGCAGTACAGGATGAACTGGTAAATTTTAAGATAAAACACCATCTTGGTTAAAGGTATGAGTGTCAGTACCTTTATTATCAGCTGCGATGAATCCCAGGATGTTCTCATGCCGTAGCATGATGGTCTGGTAGATTTCGGCCTCGCGGAACCACGAGCGCTCGTCTCGAGAGGAGAAAATCTTCACAGCCACGTCCTCGCCCCGCCACTTCCCTCTCCACACCTCTCCAAAACGACCCTTCCCAATGCTCTCCTGTAGCACGATGGTTCGCGCTATCGTCCTCTGAACCAGCAGCGGCAGTCCTGAGATACACAATCAGAAAATTCAGTCTGGGCACACATACCCTGCCTCTGTATGGTATATAAATAATGTGTAATAAATAAACTTAATGAACAGTATCAGCCACAGCACTGTAAATTACACTTAAACCAAGTCATATACATGAATTTGAAATACAATGTCTATACTAGTAGACCGACCAAAATGGCCTGTGTGGGTTCAGGCTGTTTCTTTCTTTCTTTCAAAGTGCAGCCTGTATGACTCTTGATACAGTCACAGGCTGAGTTATTCAGTGGGTCTGGGCTATTTTAAGGGCTATATCCTGCATTTTTCTTGCAATTAAGCTTTTCCTTGAGGTCGGCTTACGGCAATTATGTGGATGCATCCAAAAAGGTTTCATTCACTTTTAACATAACCATTTTCCAACCTCTCTTTATCTCTTAGAATTAAACAGGCTGTTTTTGTTACTGTGCCTTTAAACTTGATATATATGTCTGATATATATGAGCTCATATATCTAAGATAAATGAGCTCTGTTCTGATTGGCTGCCTGTATTGTGCCCCATTTAAAATATACTCAAAGCTGAAGCACTCCCTAGAAATTCAGTGTGCATGGGTGGAGCTAATCTGCTGCAGGCTGAATAGGAGGGTGGATGTAAAACAACTGGGAGCGTGACATCACAGAAGCAATCATTTCAAAATGGGCTACTTTTGCAGCATCATTTCTACATATGAACTGTATGGACTGAGCAGTGAAAAGTATTTTAAACTTTGACAATGTTTACATATTACTTCAAGCTCCTTTTAGATGGAAATTTGGTTGCGATATGGGCCCTTTGATGAGTTAACATGTCTCTCTCTCTCTCTCTCCCCCCTCACCTGATCCTGAGCCTGACGTGCTCATGTCATATATCAGTTCTTTCAGGCATTTCTCAGGTGAGACGAGGCTCTGGTCATCCAGCGGTTCCTCTGGGTCTTGTTTCCGGGCTTTACTGTGCACACACCGCTGATTCTGAAGAGCACACAGACCCAGGACCACACCCACACACAACAGGCACGACGGCACCAGGATCACAGCTGCCAACTCCAGCCGGCCCCAACCTGAGCCATCAGAGGATACTCCTGTACCGCATATACAAACACACACACAAAACGCACAAAAATGTACAGTCAGGACTCAATCTACTGATACCAGAATACTGAAAAAAGAAATGTTTTTGTTTTTAGAAGCATAGCTTCATTAAAATACATTGGGTGGACCATTAAAAATGACCATATATTTTTTCCCCCTTTGCGATCTTGATTAAAGCATTTAGCACACTGTGAGTACACTGAGGTACAGAGCATTAGTAGGATATCAATGCCAATATAGAAAATGGACATATGGTCAATGCACTAAAACTAAGAGCGGTTGCAATGTCACACTGTCACACTGACACACTGTTACATTGTGTATCTGGTCATTTGCAAGGTAATTTGTAGTTAATCTGCCCAGTATTCACCTGAATTCATAATAAAAATTCTAATAATAATCTTTATTAATATAGCACATTTCATTTTATGTACAAAATCTCAATGTGTTTTACACACTAGGAAGTACAAGATTGAAAAAGATAACGTACAATGGTCTAAACAAACAGCACCATTACCAATAATAGCCCCAAGACATTAGGCATTTGCTAGTGTTAATTAGGATTTAAAAACATCTATTGAGCTAGCATTGCTAATATTCTCTAGAAGTTTAGGAGCTAAATAAGAAAATGATCTCCTGCCAACTAAGCTGTGAGTGATTCTAAGAGTTTCCAGTAAGCCTCAGCTGAGTGAAGTGGTGTAGGAGGGCTATAACGCTTCAACAGATCAATGTAATATTGTTACCTGTCAGAGCAAAACCTTGCATCACAACTTTTGTCATATTCATTATTGACTTTGAAAATACCAGCTGCATTTCACATAGTGTGAAAATTTCATGATGAATGTACCAACTGAAATTGTTCAATATTGCTTGAGATAAAAATCTTTCTGCATTAACTTCCATTAAAAGTTACCATTTTAAAGATCCAAGTATTTTGTCTGAAGGCAACAATATGCTGAGCTTCAGACGTCATAAACGAGACCTCACACATTTTTTCAATGTATTTGCAAAAAGGCAAATACTGAAGAATGCTGTTTGCACAATCATTCAACTAAATGTGAAGAATAAGAAGATAATAACTTAGATGCCACTCCGCCCTCTAGTGTTGGCGTCCTGAAAGCATGAGTCTGTCTGCAGCTTCCTGTCAGTGGACTATGATTAGATATGGAGGTGTTAATTAGTGTTGAATAGTTAGGATTGAGTGCACAGAGCCACAAATGATTTCATCCTGCTCAGGTTATGCTGGAGCTCAACCGTCAGCAGAGCTTAAGTCAGAGAGATTCAGATGGCCGATTGTGAAATAGCTTTAGTATGTGAAAGCAGTCTTTAAAAAAAGCTATGAGCTCTAAAAGAAGAGCCAAACAGGGCAGACGGAGGAAAGCACTGAGTCTGAAATACAAAGGAAGTTTTTTATTCATCGCTTCCTTCAGTGCATGACTACTGCAGGCCATGAACGCAGTAAAACACAGTAAAAAATCAACTAGTGACATGAAAACCTAAATATTAACTTAATTTTATAGATTGTTTTTATATAAAAATGCATTTTTATTTGTATTATAACTTTATTTGTATTATTACATTTTGGGTTGCATTTCAAGGTCATTGCGTATTTTTAGATCTGCACCAATTATGAATTTTTATGGCCTGCTATCATTACAGCCTAAGGTTTTTTCTTTTAACCTTTATCAATATAACCCATGCTCACATCGTGTGGGCTACAAGAACACACGAAACATACTAGCACTAGTGCTTTTTATTAGCTAAAGTCATAATAAATAACATTTTGCTCTTTAATGGGCCAAACTCGCATTTTAAATTCTTAAATGACAAATTTGTTGCCTATTTAAATTGCATGAAATCAAATAAAGTGCTAAACTGAAAGTAAGAGGCAACAGGCTGTTCAGCAGAATGAGTCATGCATAATTAAGTTACGACATTTTGGTATAGATGTAGCAACATTTAAATACAGTGTTATTGCACTTACTTGCATCACTTTATTTATGTCATAAAATTACAACACAGCTAAAATCAAAATAATAAATTGTTATGGCCCGTTCCATTATGCACCCCAAATTATAATATAGGTTTAATAATCACAATCATGATTGTTATTATGAGCAATATATAAACTGACAGAAAGCACAGCATCATAAACAACACACTGCAAATGTAACACTTGACTTTTGCAGTACATGGCGTTTTCCAAAGTGACTTTATGGCTTAGTTTAATGGCTATGACTCCATGACAATAAAAAATAAAGACAGGCGTAAATGTCATTCAGGTGTTCGGTCTTTCATAGTCAGTTTCAAATGAGTAATATCATCCATCACTGGACAGTCTCTATATGGCTCTCCTGTAGGCTTTTACTATGGATGTGAATGTGTACCATTTAACTGTTTCACAGAACAAGGCAGAAAAAAACAAAAAACACAGACATAAGAGTAACCTGAAGAATAAAAATAAAATAAAATAAAAAAAGATTTGTAATCATCTCTCTGTGGAAAATCTTCATTGCTACATTTTATGTACAAAGGTATCCAGAAACCATTTATTTATTTAGAAAAGTGCATTTTCTAAACAAAGTACAGAGTGATTGCACAGCTTAACCAATTCCCAGATGGTTGCTAGGGTGTTGCTAGGTGTTAAATGGAAAATCATTTAACGATCAATGTACGAAAAACATCCAACCAGAAAACTGTATATAAGCACACCATGCCCGATCAGACTGAACAACCCATCCAATACCTTTGGGAGGAGCTGTGATTCAGAACTAAAAATCTAAGATCTAACATCAGTACCTGGCCTCACTAATACTCTCGTGGATAAATGCAAACAAATCCTCACAGTAATGTTCCAGCATCTAGAATAGAGCCTTCTTAGAAGAGCAGAGGATGTTACTGCAACAAAGGGGGACAATCTCTCTATCAATACCCTTTGTTTCAGGGGAAACTCTGGATAAATAGGTGTCTGCATACTTGTGGACAAAGTTCCAGCTTCCCATGCTGAAATTAAGCCTAAGTCTGACTGAAAAGAATTTCCAGTGGTGGTTCACCATTGGCACTACCTTTTAGTCCAAGACTAAGCTTAATCCATGTCTGGGAAACTGGCCCATTTTGTACCTGCCAGACTGCAATTTCCTCACATCATAACAGCTGCTTTCTTCTGAACGCATTTTCATCCAAAAAGCTTTCAGGAGAAAAACAGTCTCTAAAATTAAGAGCTTCCTGCTGCTTAGTAGACTTGAAAAAAAACAGCTAGTTAATACTGCCAGGAGCTGGAAACAGTTGTAAGCTGTAAGATGTAAGTTTTAATCATGCTTCAATCTATTAGCATTGAACCTGAATTTATATAGTTACTTAACCTCTTAAACTCTATAAGCCTGTATGCAGATCCATACTTCAGTTCCTCACTCGCACAACTACATTACATAACTTACATACTAGTCTCACTGTAGTTAAGTAACTGAGTAATTTATAATAGAGGATAATAAGTCTTGAGAGTAAAGACAAACAAAAGTAATTTTAAAGCATTAATATTGGCAAGAGGTGGAATTCAGCTGCTATTAGCTTCTAAACATCTAAATGGTTCACACTGCATTTCAACTACCATACTGCTAGACACAGTTTAGTCTAGGTTTGTAGTTCTAGGGCTCTGGAATAGACAGAGCAGCACTGATTTCATCTGGACAAACTCAGACATAGCAAGGCAGTCAGTCGTCCCACAGGGAAGGCAAGTGTGATTCAAATACAAGCCAGTCATTTACTAATCAATCAGACCCACACAGCTGTGTCAATGATTAATGAAACTAATCAGAGGTTGGCATTTCTCAATTTCACTACAAAACTGCCCAAACAGCACTGATGAAATCATGAAAGTTTGAGAGATGGTGTGACTAACCTGGTACTAGGCATGCGTATTCAGACTTTTGATATTTGTATATTCTAATTTTGATATTTAAGTATAGAAAGAAAGAAACACGGCTAAAAACATCCTTCATTGTTCAAAAATAGCCACAGGAAATCAGTGCCGCTTCAAATGAAGTAATGAGCTAACACTGAAGCTACCAAGTGCAACATTGGATGCTGATCAGCACTAGTCTGCATGAGGTCTTCTAAATGAGGCCTTTTCTTCTCAGTGGACCACACGCACTCAAGTGCTACGTTTTCACTGTTTCTGGACCAAACTAACATCAGCTAGAGTAGTTGGCTTAGTTAACAATAAAGCTGTGCTACCTCTGCATTCTCGGTCACATCCTTAACAATGTGTCCTTGGCCACACGCTCACTTTAAGGCCTTTGTGTTTTGAAGTAACAAAGTATAACATAATTATTCGCAGATATGAGCAAAACAATCACTTTTACAGTCCTGTTAAAACAAAATCAAGTGTTTGACTGAATTGTTAGCTTATATATTTTCTCCGTCTTTCTGTGATGAAACACAATGAATACCCAAACAGTGATTTCAGTATTCAAACACCGATACCTGGAATAGTTAGCTGAGTATGTTTAAATCAAACAAAGTTATCATTTATAAATGGAATTTAACAGTAGTTTAATTTATTCACAGTAGTTAAATGAATTCAGTGTTTCACAAAATTAACCAAAATTATTTGCTTACTGAACACTATTATACTGACATATCGAAAATAATTATAGTCACACACTTTATTTTTATACTACTATAAATACATACTTTACTGAATATTATTATAATTGGTAAAAATCGATTCCAACATTCTAAAATTGATACAACTAAATTGCGCTTTAACATCCCAAATAAACAGAGCTGTAAAAATCTGCATTTCAGCACTGCAGTGTGTTCAGAGCAAAACGGCCAAGCTGGTCTAAACCGGACCCTGGTGTGTCCCTCTCCCCGAGGGCCCCACTCTTGCTGCATCTGCACAGGGTCACCAGCAAAAGACAGAGGCAAGTATTTCAAAACACGTTTCCCTCTCCTTTCTCCCAGAATTCAGTCTGCCAGAGGGTTCAGC